AACAAAGGTCTTAAATTTAAAACAGGAAGAGTATGGTAACAACAGGTTTGAACCAGTCTAAAAATACCAGTTAGCTGAGGAGATGGAACTATAAAGAGTTTTTCACCAATGCCCCTTCTCAAGTAAAAGGCCGAAGCACAGCGCTTTCTGTCCGAGGCACGGGACTAGCTGCTACACAACCTACAGAACAGCGTTAAAAGCACTCTATACGTGTTACATGCTCCAAATGACAACAGGAATGTGGGATGGTGGATCACTATTTCAGATTCCCCAGCATGGTTTTATCTGCCATGAATAAAACAGGAAGCACAGAATCTTCCAGGTTCCCCACGCACCCCTGACTGTCTGGTTGAACTGTAGTTTCCTTTCAGGAAAGAGAAAGGAAAGGGGGGGGAGGAAGAAAAAAAGAGAAGCAGCCAGCTGCAGTATCAGACAGATTAAAAATTCACACTAAGGAAAAATAAAGAAAAACAGGAAAAAGCAGACACTGAACCTTCAACCAGTTACAGCAGCTAAACTCCTTCAGGTTCCTAACAAAACAGAGTTAAATATTAACATTTGAGAGAAATACATCCATATGTTATGCAGCCTTTTTAACACACTCTTGCTTAAGAGACAGCTATGATACTTAAGCTGTATTTTACTTGCTGACCACATGCACATATACTCATTTAACTCTACAGTGCTACGCTGCCTTGCTACATTAACCAGCAAAACTAAAAAGAACACTATTTAATGGGAGCTGGCTTAAATTATCTTTACACCTAGGCCTGAAGAAACATTTTGCCTTTGAGTTCAATCCACTAAGCCAACTTTCCCTGCTACAGAAGGTTTCATTGGGTCCCTTGCTGTTGACTGGTGATCCACATGCCTGCCTCCACCAGCAACACATACACTTTGATGCAATCCATCTGACTAAACAAAACAAATCAAAAAATCCAAAGTTGCTTGCTAAAGCAGTAGTGATGCACTTACCAGCATCCAGGCAAACTCCTTTGCTAACACGCTTCCCTCTCGAGCAGATCAAATTTGGAACAACGTCCAGCAAGAGAGAACTGAGAACTGACCACAACAAGCTTCCAAAACAAGAAAGGGTGGGGGTGGTGGGGGGGTGAGGGGAAAACCAACCTTACTACAGGAATTCAGATCTTGCTTCCACCAGACCCTGAGTCACCTCCCCTCCCTTGCAATAGATCAGAGCAATGGGTAAACATTTCCAAATATGGAGATCAAAACTCCAAAGGATGTCAAAAAAAAAAAAAATCACCCTTCTCTCCCTGGCTTTGGCACAGGGATGACTTGCCCCTCTGGAGCCTGAGCTGAGCACATCACTGTTGCTGACCTACACACAGCTTGGACATAGGGACACGTGTCACTGCCTTGACCTGTGCTTTGGAAGCTCCTGGCTCAACGGGTGACAGACACTGCATCTCTGTCCCCTCCCAGGGATGCACAGGGAGATGCAATGGGGGCAGCTCCAGGAGCCATCACCCCTTGCCCACTACAGCAAACCTCCCTCTCGTCCCTTGACTCATCAGCACAAAACCTTGTAGAACTGAATTTTGGAGTGCTCTTTGGAGAAAAATAGGCAAATTCAGGCTGCGTTTATAGTGACGCCAGCTTGACACCAGAAAAGGCACAGCTCAGCCATCAGTCCCACTAGAGAGGTCCTGATGCCAGGTTCCACACTGACTGCTCACCTGGGGCTGGAAATCCCCCCTGCCCTGGCTCATCTAGACAGTGCTTTGAGAAAAGCATGTATTTGATGATGCTTTACCCGAAAAAAAACAATCCACAGCTCTTCAGAAAGTAACACGCTGCTTGGACAAGGCAAGATCTCCCTGCAGGGACAGGGAGCCCAGCATGGCAGCACCCAGTCCCTGTGGGGGGACACAGTGCGGCATCCCATGACAGGTAGAACAGGGAAGCACCTACCACCCCTCACCCTCCCCGGGAAAGGGTCTTGAGGGTTAATGCCCAAGCCCATACAGCAAATTTAGGGGGCAGAACAGTTATACTCAGAGGGGACAACTGTCCCTGCAGAGCCTGTCTGCACGCAGGAGCAATATACCCATGCCACCGCTCCCACGGGCACCACTTCTCAGCTGCAACAGCCAAGCGGTGGCCAGCAGGGAGGTGACTACGCCTGCCAGCATGGGACAGCTGTCTCCTCAGGCTGCAGCCATGGGCTCCAGGAGCAGGCAGCCTCTCAGGAATGTGCAAATCAGGGCAAATCAGGTTTTCAAGGGTAACAGGCCGCTGAGGCATCCAACCGGACCAGAGTGATTCCCCAGCACCACCCACAAGATGCTATTGAATTTATAGGGAAGGAATTCCAGAGCTGACTCTGCCCATGTATGGCCAAAACAAACTGTAAAAAAGCGACATTATAGTACATCTGGCTTTCACTGGTACTGAAGCACAGGCTTCGGGGGGGAGCTGAAATCCTGAAGTGACGGGGCCTGTACAATTAACTCTAGTAACCAGACAGAGGCCAGGGGCCCATGGCAGCATGAGTTTAGCATCTGATATCACAAGTGACAGAAAATAACAAAAATCTTTTCTTCAGAGGAAAACAAAGCTTTCTGCCTTTTAGAATAAGAAGCATATTTAACTTAGTGATCTATCACTATCACTGCAAAAAATAAACCTTGCCAGGCAGCATCAGCACATGTCCACTACGCTGGTAGTTATAAGGGGAGCTTTATGGAGCCAACAGTCCAAGTGGCACTAAGTGATGCACCAGGACAATGCCAATGCAATGTGGGCTGGGATTAGCTCTTAACGGGCAGCTGATCAATTAGTTTTCTAAAAATCCACTGAAACCTCCCCCAGAGCCATGCGCCTCAACCAGCAGCCAGGCCACCAGAAGCATTCTCCATGGCCAGAAATGGAGATGTTCTGAGCACTGTGGTAGATGCTCCAAAACCAGGGTAAGAAGGGTCAGGTTTTACAAACTATGACTCAGTTTTCCAGCACCTTGCAGAAAACAATTCCCAAGGTACTGCTTTTTGCAAGGAGAAACAGCAGGATGAAGTAGAGAATATGGTAAGCCAAGAAAGGGGACCAAAGCATGAAGAGCAGGAACCCTGTCCCAGGCATGCAGCAGCACTTACTGCTCTGGGCTCCTGCAGCACAAACAGATCAAGGTTCTCCTTAACAGTTAAATGCCACTACCTTGCCTGCCCTGCCAGTGGGGGAAATACTAGCTGTGTCAGCTCCAGAGGCAAAGGGCTTACCGAACCAGAGAGGAATGCAGGCTGCAGTGGCACACGTGGTGGGGACAGGGAAAAGAAACCCAGGGGAACACAGGCTGCTAGTGCTGCCTCTGCCTTTGCACCAGGGTCAGGCAGGGTACGTTTTATGGCTCCTGGAGTTGAAACCTGGGCTTCATGACCTTAGAGGGACTCTCATGCCAGAAACAAATATAGCTGTTAGAGGGGCTGGGAGTTCAGGGGCCTGAGCACATGAGGACAAACTGGTTCCCGGCTCCTGGCAGGCAGCCCAGCACTGCTTTTCAATAAGCACAAGTCGTACCCATTGGACCAGGAACGGGTGCGTGTCTAAGCGGCATTTGCTGATGAGAGACCCGCCATGCAGCTATTCCCCCAGCCTCGTGTTCCCAGGGATTACCATCTCCCCTTGGCTTCCCAACTGAAAAGGCATTATACCCCCTCTCTTGCTACTATACTCACTCTAAACAGTGGTACCTAAACATGAGCTGGGGTTCAGTACCTCTGTTTTAGACCACCTTCCACCCCAAAAGACACAGAGAAACAGAGGGACAGATACATGCATGTCTAACTACAACTCCCTGCAATACGGCACTGCAAGTCTCTCTCCTTGTCACAGCCCTAACTCTGGTAAGTAAAAGCCTGGGGGCCTGGGAATAAAATCCAACTCAAGCCTCCTGCACAACGCTACAGGTCATTATCAATCAGCCACTGGGTAGGCATGGCTAATTTAATTTAAATGCCATTACATAAGCAGGACAACTGAGAATATTTGATTCATAAAAATGTCTTGAAGGGGCAGAGAGCACAACTTGCATGGCATACATAACACAAGGACTGCTGCAGCATCACAGGAACACAGACCATCTAATAACACACACAGCAAGGACCAGGGATGCTCATACACACACATGCACAACTACACACACGTTACGTCTCCTCCCCCAACATGCATAAAAGCAGACTTAGGGCTTGCAAGCTGAAGTCCTGTGCAGCCAGAAGTTAGCACAAATGTTTGTGACAGTTCCACTTTGCAGGCAAAGGCAAAAACCGGGTGCAGAGGAATAAATATAGAAAGAAGTCAGGCAGGCAAAGCAGGTGCTGGCTTGTAAAACCTTGGCCAGAAAGGCTCCCCAGGAGGTTGAATCTGGTAGTTTTGCAACAGCTCCACAGAGAGACAGAAGAGACAGAAAAAGAAAAAAAAAAAAAAAAGAGGAGAACATGAATGCATATGCATTCTTTTATCACCATATATAGTATATACAGACATTTGATATATACACCCCCAAGCTCTCATATGCCACCATATAGTATATACTATATATGCACTGCGCATCTTTGTTTCCATGTGCCTAGATTTGTACAGCCTGTGTGTGTATATATATATATATGTATGTATGTGCATTTCTCATGCATGCATTTGTCATTACCCCCCACATCACCTATCCACATGTCCTGTCACACAACACACTGCTTGACAGAGCATGTCTAAAGCCTCGGTGCCGAAGTCTGGGATGACTTCTGAACACTCACAGCTTCTCCCTGCTGAGCCCTTCCCCACCAAAGCCTCTGGGTGCAAGCACCACCAGGGAACCACCAGTTTGTCTTTTATTTTCCAGTGACCCCACACTTGCCTCCACACTCTGTTAGGAGAGGACTTTATTTTTATTTTTTTACAGAAAACCATGAACAAGAGTGCCATTGTCAGAAAAGCCACAGATCCTTCTGAGAAGTTGCCCCTCTCGCCTGTGAAGCGTGTTTACGTACCAGTTCTCACGCTGTACAGCCTTGCTGGTGGGATGAACTCAGAGAGCTTTTGGAGACACGCGGGGCTCTGCCAGAGTCACGACTTTGGGTTTCTTTCCCAGTCCTGTGAAAAGAGAGATACCCGTGTGATGCATGCTGGATGGGCCTTCTGACGGCTTGTCTCCAAAACTTACAGTTTAACCCACACAACTTCTGGGAAATGCAGCATTTTCCTCCCCAGCTTTCTTAGGCAGAAGCCTCCATACTCCTGGACTCCTTTTGGAACCCCCCAAAACTGAGCATCACCACCTCTAACTGGGCCAACAATCAGCACCAGCTGCCACAGCTTGGCCAACAACTTGAATCTCCCCAAGCCACAGCTCCTTTACTGCTCTTAATGCTCCTGAGAAAGTGAAGGTAAAAGGAGACAAAATGAGGCATAAGAGAACAGGGTGAATCCATCACTCATCTCTGTGACCTCAGGAACAGTGAGGGAGCTAGGAAGCATCATTTAATTTGGTTCAAAGCTCAGGGGCTTTATCACTACCACGAGCAGCTACACCACCACCCAGTTCACCAGCCCTCCACCTCAGCGCAGCATTTTATTTGAGGGGCTCTGCCCAGTTCCCAACAGGGACTGCCTCACTCTTTCCTGTAGCTGCAAAGCAGACATGGCCCTTTCTTGAAGTGTCATTTTTCTCCTCTGCAGAAGATGAAGGTAGAGCAGAGGGGTCAGACAGGCCACATGACCACCCTCTTGCACATGGCATGCCAGGACACATGGTGGGGTGCATCCCATGGAGATAAACAGCATCTGAATCGCACACTCCTTCCTGCTCCCACCAGCCTACAGCCAGCAACCCATCCCAGCCACATCATGGCCGCTCTGACAGCCCTATCTCTGCTCATGACAAATGCAGGCTTGCCTCATCATCACTGTTCAGCAGAAAACGTTACTGCTATTTTCTGCTGTAATGATGGAAATGCTCAGTTCAGGCTTGTGTTTGCTGTACCTGTGCTGCTCACGTGGATGCATGTGAGCCCATGAGTCTACAATCAATATGGAGCAAAATGTAAGAGTGCTGGTGGCTCACAGTCCAGGTCCCTCCTCCCTGTCACACAGTGAGATGGCTTCCAGGCCCTGCCAGCACCTCTAGTCCCTCACACCATGTCTGATGGTACAGCAGCCAGGAGAGCAACTGGGCTGTCACCTCTCCCAGTGGTCGCTGATCTCCATTGAGCCACACTCCAAGAGCACACCAAGGTCCACCCTGACCCAGGCAGTATCTTCCAAGCTCCATGGTCCCTGTAGTGGCACCCAGCCCCGATTCCCCATGGTGCTGGCCAGGTATAAAAGTTCCCAGGACCCTCAACATTCCCTGAAGGGGTGATGAGGACAAATTGAATTGGAAATCGCAATGGCCTCTCCCACTCACTGCAGGCTTGGGATGAAGATGAGTAACCACAGGGTTTTATTGCTGGTGAACTCAGCCAAAGAGCAATTTCTCTCCATCCATCAAGGAGGAGACAAGTACAAGCAAATATTATGGTTGTGCATGTTTACTTTTCATTTTAAAATGATGTAGAGTTATATACAATTTAGGTCCTTCCCACAGGCTCCTGGCAATATGCCCTTCAGTCTTATCTGTAAAGGCAGAAGACAACAACATTCCTCTCTGGTTCCAACACCATTTCAATTCAACTCACAACAGCACCTCCGGGAGTTCCAGGTAAGACAATATTTCTTGGGACCCAATCTGTGTTTAGAAGATCCTGGCTCAGGCTTGTCTTTCACCGGGTTTAACTCAAGAAATGTTTACAAGATCAGTTATAGGACTCAGCAAACTTGACTAGTTGAACCGCATCTTCCTGTCTTTACTTTCCACACCAGCCATTCTCATCACCTTGTGACTGAGGTTCCTGCAGCAAGGCAAGCAGGACCCCACATACCCTCCTTGAGGCACCCAGCTGAAGCTTGCTGTGGAAACACCCTCCCCAGCAGCAACTGGGGCCCAGCATGGTTCCAGAGGGGCAGCAACCCACTGATGCCCAGGCACATGCTCCCTCCTGGTTACACACGCACAGTTGGGAAGGACAGGGACAGTCCAACTGGTCACAGAAATATCCACCTGAGCCAGTCTGTCAAACTACATTTGTGACTCCATTTCTTTACCAGGAAGTTGCAAAAGTCAGACTGGGTCTTTGAGCACAGAAATACCCAGAAGACAAACACAGAGGACAGAGCCAAGGTATCAGAAGAGCTGCAAAATGGCTGCATTGGAAGCCATCAAGCCATGATGCCACCACCAAATCAGATCTCTTCAACACATGATCTCATCAAGCATTTCCCATTGGGGAGCATTTCTTGAGACTCAAGGCCCCCAAACCTGAAGATTAGCAGAGCTCCTCTCCCCAAAGTCCCTCTTCTCGGTTGCCTGTACACATCCCTCAGCAAGGAGCATCCCTGAGACTCGCACCAGAGAGGACTGAATAGAGGCTTAGCAAAGCGATGCCTTAACCATGCCAGTGCTGCTGGGGAAGCAGGCAAGAGATACAGATCTTGAGCCAACAAGTCCCAGAAAAGGGTCTGCCCCTCGCAATCACGCTCGTTCCTGCTTTGTCTCGGGTAAAGACAAATGAGTGCACAGCAGAGACATACCCAAATCACTGCCATCGATTCCAGCACAAGTCTTTCTCCCACTGAAGTCCCCAGAGACACAGATGCAAAGACTGTCCCCTAAGGAGCTCTGGGTTTCATACATACCCCAACCACCTTTCCGGGGAATATCCAGGTGCTTTTACAACAAAAATAGTAACAACAGGCAGGCTTTTAGCACTACAAAACTGAGGTCCTCTTAGTTCAGAGCCACCGCAACAGATGCTCAGTGGCCTGCACACAGCTGATTTCCATCTTGCAACAAGAAATCCCAGTTTTCTATCACAGTCCTGCAAAGATAACAGCAGGAAAGTCTCTTTGGTAACACAGCCTTCACTGTCAAGCTCCCATCTGGCATAACTCAAGTATGACTCTTGTGCCTCCAGATCACCAACTACAAGCGGGCGAGACTTTGGAGCCTGTATAGACCTATGTGTGCACATCGGCATCTTCATTTTTATGCCTTGCACAACACAAACCACTTATTTTTATGCACCATTTCAGTAGGTTATTTATCATTTTAAATGAATTTAAAGCAAATGCCCAAACAGCAGGCATCAGCTACCACAGACAAAGCACCGAGTCTCTGAAACTACCAAAACCAGAATTTATCAAAAGAGCACGTCCTTCACAAAAGATTTTTTCCTTCATTTTTGTCTTCCAACTAGTTAAATTTAAGGTACAGCTCCTAAAAAGCTGAGAAAGTGATTAGAAGTTTAAAAAGCCACCCCAAGCTGAAAAGAAAATAAGGTTTCTGTTTTCTTATATAGTTCAGATTTTTCAAAAGTGGACAGTTTAAAACCTCTGCAAGAATTCCAAGTTTCAAAGAAGTACAATCAGCACTTTCAGAAAAACAGGCATCCCCAGCATAACTTTACAGTGGTCACTTAGAAATTGAGGCAACCAGACTCCCCATTTCCTTTCTTTTAGAAAATCTTACCCATGAAAACAATTTCAGCAAGCACTAATTACACTTCTCACATAACAGCCTGGCTGAATGTCATCTGCTTTTCTGGCTACTTGAAAGCTGCATTCACTTTTAAATGTCCTTTACACTTGAAAGTGTTACCAACAGTCAGAGCTTAATTTTATTTTAGTTTTTAAATCAGTATGGCTATACTTCTAGAAGCTCAAGCATGAACACCAGTTAAACTGGGATAAAGCAATCTCGCCTTGGGATCCCTCGTTCCTGTTCCTTCATGGAGCAGATGGCTCAGGCTGACCACCACAAGGAAAACTCTCATTTAAACTGTTCCAGTCACCAGTTTTTAAGCTCAGATAAGCTCCCAGCAAGTCAGCCATCAGCACAAACTGACACGGGTCCCTCCTGTATGATTGGCAGGCGTACATACAGGTCCCCAGACAACAACCCCATTCAATCTGACCTTTTCTTTTCAAATAAAAAACACTTAAAAGCCTGCCCTGTTCTGACATATGTATTTTTAAGTCTTTCCTGCGCTGTGCCAATATGTTATTTGTTGACCAAAGTCCCCAAACTCAGAAATCTCATGTTATCTCCTCCACTGCCAGAGCCCCGATCGTCAGCGGTTCTGGCCACCACCATCACTGAGGGAGCTGTCTGAGGCCTCCACATCCGCACACATCAAAAAAATCAGATCCCTTACATGCAAACCTCAATTCAGAGTCCAAACCCAACTTAAAATTCAGCTTATATGTATGGGTAACTTAAAGACAGCCACCCAGAGGCACGGACTGATCTTGCTATCCTGGGACACTGGTGCCTGCAGGATCCATCCAGCCCTAATAGCTTTCTGTGTTTGCTTCTGTGCTTCTCAGGTTTCTTTATTAAAATTAAACGGTTCAACTCAAAAGTACGCTGCTGAAGTTATCTAATAAAAAGATCACGCAAGATAACAAAAGCTGGAGACACGTTTCCTCCGCTCTGCTGCCAACAGTGGCACCTGCTCAGAAAGTCATCAATACAAGCAGCAACAGCTAATATGCCCAACTGCTGCCTTCTGGGAGGCCAGATCCTGTGTTGGTGTAGAGCAGCAACTATGAGAATAGTGAGTTTCGATTTGCAAGGAAGCACACACCCCTCCTATATCATACTCAGCACAGAGCTGCTTTCAAATCCGCAGCAGCCCCACGTGTCAAAATTAGCTGTAATGGGACTTAATCGCTTCCGAACTCCTGGTCCAGCCCTGACGCTGGAGGAAGGCTGATGCTGACCGCAGCATGGACCGTCAGCTCCGATGGGGAAAATTAGCTCCCATAAAAAAGCAAACTCACTGGCAGCCCCTGGCATTAAAGCATTTCCCTGTGGTAGCCCTGGGGTCCTGCAGCAGTGGTACAGCCGGCTTCGTGGCCAGGGGACTCATTTTTATCTTTGCTGTCAGATTCATCTTGGGGTTCATAAAAATGAGACTAAACTAAAACAAGAGAAAAAAAAAAAGATCAGGAGAGTAGGGGGAAGAAGCGGGAGACATCACTCCAGTGGCAC